CGCGAAGCAAAGCAAAAGCCAGTTTACAAAAATTAACACAGACCGTAGAACTGCAAATATGCAAAAGAAGATGAGCAACCAGAAGTTTCCGCAAGTGTTTACAGCCAGTGTTGGCGAAGCATAAGTCAAATGGTTAAGGATTAATATTATTAGTGTACTGCTACAACATATAATTATACTGTTAGTCAACAATTAGTAACGAGGCAAAGAGTGTCTTGCTGTGAGAGGTTAGTTAGTAAATTAAATATTATTTTCATCCACTTACCTAGAGCTCCGAAATATCTTGACACAATTTATCCACAGTGTGGTTGCACCATTTATGCACAGTCAATATGAAAGCAATAGTCTGGAGCTGGCCGTGGTTTTCCCATACGTTCCTGTGCCAGTGCAAATTGAATGAAATGTCTTCCACTGTCCCATTTGAAAAACTGGCGAACAAACAATTAGCCGCAGAACAATCCAGAAATATGCGCAAGCAGAAAATGCTCATTTTAGCTGCCACAGGCGTCAAAAGCTATAACAGTCGCCACCATCAATTAAGTACGTCGTTGATGGAAGTAGTCGGGCACGACAAGTTGGCCATATACACGTAGAATTACTACTAGTGGTAAGCATCACTTCAGAGGTCCCGGGAGTTAGCATCCTTTGGATATTCGATCCAGGTAATGCCGATGTGTTGGGAAATGAGCAGGCAGTGAGACTGGCCGGTTCTGCACCACTTGGTGGTGAATTGATATATGACTGACTAGCTAGACGTTGTGAGAGCCCTCTGGGAGCAAGTGAAAAATGCGAAAGTGCAAGTATATCATTACGGTCTGAGGAGAATGGCGCTGCGAGGAGTTACCAGGGGATCTGGCCGACGCTCAACACTCAGTGGAAGGGTGGGACAGATATACAATCAGGCAGGTGCTATCGGAATTGGAACTGTTGGTTTGATGCTGAAGATTGAGACCCAGCGCTTATGAGGGTGTTCAGTGCTATGATGTCGATTTTTAATTCAACATTTAACCTAGAATCACTATATAAGCTATTCAACCTGCTCACACGTAAACCGGCTACCGGCCATATTGAACACCACGACACATCCGCTGCACAAATGTAAGGCAATCCACAAGAAAAACACTTTATATAAGCCTAACACTGTACTGAATGAATGGATGAACTTAGAACTAACACCGCCTTCTCGCGGATGTCATTCTAAGCACAAACATGACATTCTGAACCTGTCTCCGTAACAAGAACAGACCATATTCCATCGCTTTGAAATGACAAGATGCACAGAAACAGTTGCATTGTTGTTCAATAGGCGCAGAGTAAATCAGTCTGTAAATAAAATTAATTGCTCCTCCAATTTCGTCCTTTTTAGGACGAAATTTTTTGTCATTTGAAGCCCTACTCTGGCTTTTGCCAGGGGCCGCAATATAGGCAGGCCATAAATATGGCCAAATGTCTAAACGCGGTTTCTGGGACCTCTCCACGGCGATCCTCATCCACATGGTGGCACTTTGTGTCATCGGGTGTTTATCGCTTGTGTGATGTCCTGGTGGGGTAGAAATTCAGTTCAGTTCTGTAAAGAAAATAAATTCTGTTTTCTGTCCTTAATTCCCCAGTAGCGCTTAGTCCCTCAGCCAACTCTCGTACGGTCGAGTCTCGTCTGTTGCTATCGCATACATGCAGCTCTGTTATACCATACCATTTTATTTCCTCTACCTTGGCAGGAATCAGTTAATAAATTTTTGTACTTTATTACTTATTTAGTTTACTCCACGTTTCTGCTCCACACAGCGATACTGATTTAATATTAGAGCTAACTTTTGTATGTTAGTATTAATTTCAATTCTCCATCACCTCTTAAAAAAAAAGAAAATGGGGAACATTATATAGGATAAATTCAAGAAAGATGAGAAAATAAGGGTAAGTCTGGGCTTTAAGGGTATCATCTATTATAAGACACAGAATGTGGCGATGTTTTGGGCACATCAGGAAAATAAAGGGGCAGAAAATCACAAAAAGGCGCTGAAATAAGAAACAGCATGACTGACGGAACGAAGACTCTAAAAGAAAACCACAAACGAACTTTGACGAGAGAGGTAAAAGGCATTGGATTGGTTTCTATCAGTGCATTCAAACGATATTACAAGGTAGGACAGAGTGATGAATAGACTTCGAACTGTAGCCTATGTGATTTAAAAACAGCACAGAATGATAGTGACGATGATGTGAAGAATAACAGATAGCTTAAACTACCACACTTGTGTGCAGTGATCGGCCTTCGATCTGCACATACACTAGCTGACGGCATTAGGAGTGGTCTGGTCCGCTGATTTCCTCGCTGGTGTTTTCATTCGCACCAAAACATTACGTGGGCCCATTTCTGGAAGCTTCATCGACCCCAGAACTGAATGTGGCCGGGAGGGAGAAATCTCAGCTCGGGGGACTGAGCCAGACCTGCATTGCGAACCAGTTCTGCAAGCATGGGCCTTGTTTTACTGATTCATCCTGGCTACTCAATTAACTCATTATAGCCCGGGCAACTAGCAATGGTTTTGTTTATGTTGTACATTATATACGGTTCTTATTACTCATTCCACCACCTTATTTATTTATTTCATAGATAAATTACTGAAAACCTCAATAGTTAGGGTGACTTCATAGATTATTTTTTTTTTTTTTCATCGAACACCGGCTGTGAATTCCAGTGGAAGGTTCCGGTTAATCGTCCGCTTGGACTTTTGGCTTTCACCTGAACCTGATTTTTGCGTGTACAACCGTTTTTGATTTCCCTGCCTCATGGGCAGCTGTACGCCGACTTCGAAGGAAGACGTCAGGCCTATTTCTAGGGTGACTGTGGTTTGTGTGGGTCGAGACGTTGCCTGATTTGTGTGGTGTCTCCTTCGCCGCAGGTATTGCCCCCGGAGTACCCCTTTGGGGCAGCCCCCTGTGGAACAGTTAGCCCTCAAGGGAAGGCAGGGGCAGATCATGGGCATTCCCCGCCATCCAAGGAGGCATCCATGTATGCAGAGCCGGCACATGACGCTCTGTTTCTGGGCTCACCCAAGGACTCTTCATAGATTATGTATGGGGTTCTGATTGTCTCCATTAGTGTCATTACTATTGGTTACATTAAAGATTATGTGCTTTTAAATGTCTCTATGCTTGTTGGTTAATTCTGAGCTTATAAACCTTTTATTTATTTAGGCGGAGTCATAAAAAACAGGATGTCACGGACTGTGTTGCGTTGGAGAGGGAAAAAAAGGGGGTGGGGGTGGGGTGGATAAAGTATAAAATAAATGCAGATAGGTCAGGAGCTGAGCGATGCAAACACACCAGTTGACTTAGCATTGATTACCCAGTCAGCAGTACTATTCATTTTCAGTTTCTTGATCATTTATTTTTATTTTTGGGTGACAGCCAGTTTAGTTTAGTCTGGGTACATTATTTTTGTTTTCTTTAAATTCAAGAATAGGTTTTTATTTTCACTGTATGCAGAGATTTATAGCACAAACTAATAATGATTGGAAAATGAGAGATTTGGCTACATATGATCTATCGGGTACCATACATTTTAATTACTAAATATTAATTACCATTTAGGCGGAGGATATAAAATATAAATTGCAAAAAGCAAGAAACACTGCGCTGGAGCCAGCGATGCTAGTTATGCAACATAAAGGCTATGAGTCATGGAGACGAAGGAAATGACTTTTCCCTCCAAACAGAACATCAGAACAACGTTAGTATCGCAGGACATATCATAGCTATTTAAACCTTTATCTAAAACCAGGCAAAGATTAGTCAAGACAACTACTTCATGAATATTAACTTACAAAATACATTTTCCAAATTGCTAGAGAAGATTGTTGATGCTGAACTGTAAGCATTCACAAATCAAAGAGCTCTTCCCTAGAGATTTAATTAGTGACCGGACATGTACATGTACGGCAACTTTTGATTTTGACGATTATGATGGGTTCTAAATCAACATGAGACGGTAGTGGTAACACTTGGTCTTCAGTCTGACAACAATATAGTCAGATACTGTATGATACTTTGATATCTGCGCTCATGCGCAAGGGGCATGTCCCTGACTGGACAGCAGGTGTCCTGCATTCACGTTAGGTCGTCCTTCGTCTGGGCGTCTGTGCTCAGAGAAATGCAATATGGCTTCAGGACTACTACAAGGATCTGTAGTTTTACCAGTGACATCAGTGTCCCCAACAAGCACAATTGCAGAACTCGAAGCATCAGGTATTAGAAAGATTTTGACATTTTCAGATGGTGTTCTTGCATATATAGTCAGTGGAGAGAATTGTAACAGACAGCTTAATACGGTAGAAAAAGTGCTCTAATAAACCTAGATATGGTCCCTTTTTTTCTGGTGCTCCATAAGCTGATGTCTGGCAGTTAATTTTAGAAGCATCTCAAAAGAAAGCAAAATGAGGCACATGTGTCTCGCTTTCAATAGCAGAATATCCGCCAGGGACCATATGGAGGCAGTTGCAGCAAAAGACCAAACGAGATTAATTGCTCCGAAGATTATGGCAGTAATTGACATGGAACAAGAATACTGCTCACGGTGTATCAGCACACCTAATCGTCTCAGTGGTGCATTATGGATTTGACCCTTGAACTGCTCACTATATCAAATAGTTAGTTGATGAAGCTTGAACATATACAGATGGAAGTGCTTCTGGGTTGTACAAGATATACACAGTAGTATGTATGCGATAAATAGTTTTATCGAAGGTGCCCGAAGGCGCAGATATCGCAGCCTTGTTGTAAACGGACACAACGCAATTATATCTTCGGACGAACGCAGAAGAAGAAGTACAAAGTCCGGTTCGTCAGGACCTGAACCCGCGACCTTCGGATCTGGAGGTGAGCGTCTAGCAGCTACAAGCCATTGCAACATGGCGGTTGTCTGTCGTTATGCGTAGAAAAAAAGACCATGTTAACATAACGGTAACTGTTTTCTGAAAATTTTTTTTCAGCATGAAACTATGGCCGGCTACGACCCCCGAATGATGTTTCAAGTGCACTCGGGCATGCACCCGGCTGTTTTGAACAGCGTGGCACCTCGCTACCCACATCCCGGACCCAGTGGACCTAGCACTCAACCAGCAGGAGGGTCCCAGAACAGGCAAGGTCCCCCGACGTCTGACCTGAAGCAGAAGGTTGGACCTAGCTGGGAAAACACATACAGGACAGCCCAAAACATCTCTTTCCCTGACCCGAAGACTGCTTGTGGGGAAAGAGTGGGGGAATTTGTCGAGGACCTTGCCAGAGGAATTGGATGTCCTGTGGAATACGTACTTGTCCCACTGTTACCTTGTGTCGGAGGTAAATATCTGTGATGTATTGTGGAATGGATATTGTGGTTTAGTCTGTTGGTTTATGATTAAGTTGCTAAAAATGGTAAGTCTTTCAACCTCGTCGGCGTCTTTGGCTTAGGCGTTGCGAGCGAGCTTCGTAATTCCGGGGTGTCAGGTTCGATCCCAGCTGCGGGCCTTGCGCTTGCATTGGTTTCGACAGTGGTATCAAGAAGCCGACCTCCAGAAAGCAATGACAAACTACTGGACGTAAATTTGCCTAGAAAAACCACAACAGACAAAAATGCTGGGGTTGGTTCTGCAACGTCCTGTAAAGGATACGCAACTATTTTAACTTTCAATCTCACACAGGCACCAGTTCTTCTCCGACTTAAAGTTTATGCCGTGTGGCGTTGGTTGTCGTGTCTGTCCACAGCCTTCTGTCTCATGTACTTTCAGTAAGTTCTGACACAGATAATCCTCCATGCTATGTTGTCAAACTGTCCAGCATCTTTTGTTGCGGTCTCCCTCTACCTCTTTTCCCTCCAACTTTCCCACGGTCAAGATGCACCTGTTGTCTGCTTCCCATAACATTACCAACAAATGTTGATTAGCTCTTCTAATGTGACCAGCCAGTTGTCTGTGTGAGTCGATTTCTCTCTAGACACATTCATTACTCTTTTTATCTGTTCAGGATGTTCTCATAATTTGTCTATAAAACCACATCTCGGTTGCTTCCACATAATTGTTCCTTAATTGGCCAAATGTCCATGATTTACTTCTGTACATCACGATATGATTTATATAGCTCTTGAGAATTCTCTTCCTCCTCTCATTTGACAAAGAAAATATGGCATAGGCACCAGTTGATGTGCACTAAAAGTAGAAGGAGCCCTTTTCTTGCCGTTGGCGCATTGGGCATGTAGTGCTAGAAAAATATGTGTATATATTTGTATGTATATCAGTCGGCACACAAGAAATACTCATTACTATGCCACGGGAGTCACCGTACCGTAGCGGCTAGACGCTCGCGTGCGGATCAGAAGGTCGTGGGTTCGCTCCCTGGCGGAGCCAGACATTAAAAAAAAATTACCTTGACTCCCAGGTCGACCCAGCCTGAGTGGGTACCTGGTGCAGTCCCGGAAAGTAAAGGCGGGCCCCATGATGCTGACCACATCACCCATCTTGTACAATTGGTCTATAAAAGTATTTCCAGCCCTTTATGCCCCAAACGCCTAAAGGCGTGGAAAAGGAACCTCTACTTTACTTACTTACTGCCCCACACACGAAGTCTTACGTCGTGTCCCAGGGAACCCACGGCTAATCCCGTGAACAAATGCGCGTTGAAGTTGGCTGTGTCGGCCGAAAGACGCAAATATCGTAGCTATGCTGTAAGCAGGTGCACCATAAATTGCGTCACCTCGGTGAAGGATGTTTGACTATATATATGTATGGGTGCACACCGACCCCGTCCCTAACAACCCTTACTGTGTACCAAAGTACCGGTCCAAGCCACTAGTTTTGGTGCAATTAACATTTCTTAACCAACATAATTGGCACAGAGAAAGCAGACCACAATTGTAACCGATACTGCTCGCAGTACGTTGAAAGTGGTCCATGTTTTGTTTTATTTTTCATAAATGGAAGGATGGAGAGGAAGAAGAAGAAGAAGAAGAAATAAAAAAAGGGGGAGGGGATGCCTAAAAACTTGACCCAAGACTGGAGCTGGTGCGGAGCTGGCGAACATTTACCTCTACTGGCTTCTGGCATAGGTCCTCTGGCGCCCACATTTGAGGACTTATGCCCCTTGAGTGCCCCAATTATAGGGGGACTGACCCTACCCCCTTCTCCAGTTTTGTAAGGGGACAAAACGACTCTTTATCGATTTACATAAATTCTCTTTTAAAGGTATTTGTTTATGCATTGTATGTTTCAATTATATTTTTGTATTAATTTTTCATTCAGCACAGCATCATCATTATGCTCTTAAACTAGGATTCAGCCAAACAAAAAGGGGAAAAAATGGGGAAGGGGGGGGGGGAACCTTTTGGTTTTATTTAGTTTTTAATGTATAGCCTGCAGTGTTTTGCAGTGTATAGACAGAGCCTTCTCCACCATATGATAGAGAAGCCTGTGGTAAAGAAATAACATCTCAAAGTCGAAAATCCCCGAAACCCCGTTCAACCCAATAGCCATATAGCACAGTTAATACTTGGGCAACAAAAAAAAAAAAAACGGTTACTAAGTAACCTGTGGTCCAGTGTGGTCTATATGTTTTTTTTTTTTTTAAATCACTAACCCTTTGAGCCCGCTTCTGGCTAGAAAATTTGGAGGGCATAAGGAGGGGGGAGAGGCTAGGGCCCCACCTCCCATTTCTTTTATTCAGCGCCGCTTCGTAGTTTTTGCGAATCAAATTATCATTATCATGCTAATGATTTGTATCTTCTTTGTCTTCTTTACGTCCTCTTGTACCACTTTAAGTGTCGAGGGAGATATAAGATCCTGCTTCGTGCTCTTCTGGCTGCTTCGACCATAGACACATCGTGGTGCTGTAGAGTTTCTTTGATGTTATGTTCCCATATCGTTCTTGGTCTAGCTCTTGCTCTACGTCCTTCTTCTCTTTTAGTGTATGCCTTGTATGGTATAGCATCAAAAAGCATTCTCTCTAAGTGGGCAAACCATTTGATTTATTGTCTTTGTATGTAATTTAGAATTGGTTCTGTGCCGATTTGGTCTCGTTCCTTATTTTATTTCTTGTGGTCACTCCTAGAGTCCTAATGATTTGTATGCACGTTGATATTTTTTTTTTTTAATATCCAGAAACCATGAGTTCTGAACGCTTTGGCTCGGTACTATGGATATCGCAACCCTTCAGCCTTGATTCCATGATAGGTACCGTAAATAGGAGAAATGTGGCTTTTCTGCCTACCCCCGGGAGTGAACCGGGACCACAAGGAGTTCGTCACCCGGTCACCGTGATGTCAGGTTTAACCAACTACGCTAAAGAGCCGGGCATATATATATATAAACACGTTGATAAAGAATTCACTAAATTATTATATTTACGAGTCAATGTACATATCTCTGTATAATTGACTACATAATCTCGAGTTTTTATATCACTTACGCAAACACACACACTGCACGCCTGCTCACAATCTCATACAAATAGTACATACGCACGCGCACACACTCACTACCACCAGAAAAGTAATGTATGTACTTTCTTCTCTCCAAGGGACTGCTCGGTTCCAACACCACGATTCGCGTGCACCGCGCATGGACAGAACCACCCATCGTGTGGAGCATGGTTGGGGCCAGTTCCGGGTCACGTCGCTCAGCGGTGATCCGGCAGATTCTGGCCCCTCTACTCAGCCTCCAGGCCGAGAGAAACAAAGACTCGACTGCCGGCACTTCTGATGACGTCATCACTACTTCTCTGTCATATGTAAATGGATTTGACAACAGCTCTGACGAAGAGAATGAAAAACCCATGAAAAGAGGTGGCGGCAATTGTGCACCTCCGAACAGAGCTTTATATTCTGGTAACTGGCTTGTCATTAAAACATTTGGTTCTTTATTAATATCCTACCCCCCAGATGACGTCACAGGGCAGTCCAACCTTTTAGAGGGTGGTAATACTGGGTTTCCCAGCTTTCTGATGCTTTTAACGACCCCAAAATATCTAAAACTGACCCCAACCCCCACCCACCTACTACCCACAAGAGAGTGCAGCCTAGGTTCCACGAGTGGGTGCAGCTAGGTCCCACGACTGCATGCAGCCTATCTACCATCCCATGAAATATTAGACTATCCTATGACCTGTGGATTTCCCCTGTTAGGGGTAGGATATTTAATAAAGCACTAAACATTTATCTGTGCGAGGAAAAGATATAAGATAGATAACTCAACGCATTTTCGTTTAGAAGTTAGTTTTAAGTGTTGAATTAAGAACTGACATGACAGCGTTCATGGCATTTCCCATAAGCACTCTGTCCTCATCTTCAGCAGCCAGCGAAAAGTTCCCTTCTTTTTGTGCCAGTAGCATTTAATTCTGTGCTTGTCTTACATTTTCTCTGGGTGTAAGCATGTCGACCAGTTCCCTTGACTACTCCTAGCTGTATCATTCTCTCCATACCATAATGGTACTTGAACAATCTTTGTCATCCCCCTTGAGTGATGCTATTTTTTATTATTTTGAAGCCCCACCCTGACAGTTGCCTTATGGTTGAACGCGGTTTCCGGGACCTCTGCATGGGTGATCATCATCCGCATGGTGGCACTTTGTGTCACCGAAGGTTTATCGCTCTGTGTGATGTCCTGGTGGGGTAAAAATAACTTACTTACTATAATAGTCTATTCATACCTGCTTACTGTTTATTTGCTCCTCAAAGGCCTTGACCACATTTAACATGTCATGCATAATTTACCACCCATAAGTGCAGAACCAGACTGTCTGCCTGTTCATTGGCCAACACTCCTGCGTGACCCAGAGAAATTATACAAATGATGCTAACTATCAGGGACCTTTGAGGCAATGCTTACCCCTCTGCTTGGAGCATGCCTATCTCCATCTTTCTTATTAACATGCTTTGTGAGTCAGTTACAGTCAGCACATTATGTATTTCTCAAGCCAGCAGAAAGCTGCTTTGACTGCCTCCATCTCCATTCTCATACCAGATGAACTATCATACACAAGAAATACTTTGTTGCACTAGGCATATTGCATTCACTGTGAAGTGGAAAACAGTTATGGGCAGACAGAAGGACAATTAGATAAAACAAAAAGAAATAACTGCAGGCTACACAAGTGATTTATCTTTTCACCATGAATATCCTTTATCTTCTTCTTCTACTTCTTTTCTTGTTTTCCTCTTCTCATACTACTTGTTTTAATTTCTTCCTCTTCCTCCTCTGCTTTTGCCTTTTCTTCCTCCTCCTCTTTCATTTCTTCTGTTACTTCTCCAGCTTCACTTCTTCTATTCCTTTGCCATCTCCTCCTCTTCCATTTGTTTCCTCTTCTCTTCTACCAACTCTTTTTCTGTTTTGTTTTGTCTAAGAATAATGTCTCTAATACAATCAGTAGTTAACTTCACTTCCATTAGGTTGTTTGTGTATCCTTTACAGGACGTTGTAGAACCAACCCCAACAGCCCCTGTCTGTTGTGTGGTTTTTCTAGGCAAATTTAAGTCCAGTAGTTTGCCATTGCTTTCTGGACTTCCATACAGTTTCAGAATGAGTAATTTCACAGAGGCCTGTTGAAAATACAATGGATAGCTTAAAGGAGGTGTCTAAACGTTTTGAAAAATATTAGGACACAAAAACAGCTTATCACAAACACAAAGAGACATTGACATTTTTATAATAAGACTTAAAAAATTGGAACATACTAAAGTAGTAGAAAAGATTAATGAAAAATAATCCAAACATACTGGACTACAGGTTACTTCCTAACCATTTTGTAATGCCCTATGGCTATACGGTTGAACAGGGTTTATATGATTGGCGAATACATTTTTGGAGGGAACACACCTAACAAACAAATTTTTTTTTAATAATGAAAAAAAAAATATATAGAGGAAGACTGTGAGGAACAATTCTTGGCAGCTTTTTACCATGGCTTAGTGAAATGATGTCTTATGTAAGATATCAGAAGATGTAGAGAATCATAGTCAGTCATGTCTGTTTGCAAGGTACAGTGCCAAGTAGGTGTTTTCTGAAGAACTGAATTATGTAGTTCACAGATCTTCTTCTTCTTTTGTTCGCTTGAAATAGATTATCTATATCTGCAATTTTGTCTCTAGTATGAACTTTTGTAATTTACTCAGTGACTCATACAATTTGGCTTGCACTGGTGTTTCTCTTGGCCAAAAGTTTTGCCTCGATATGTTGTATTTGGGACAGTCTTGAAGGACGTGATCAGTTGTTTCAGGTGCTAATCCAGATGCGCACATGGGTGATTTGCCAGTCTTAAATGTTGTGTACATGTGGCTACGAAGTCGGTTGTGTCCTGTTCTAAGGCCTAGAATAATGACTTGCTCTGATCTATCCATAAAATGGTAATCATCTTGTGCCAGTTTTGGTGCTTTCTGATTGATTTGATTATTCTCTTTTTCTGTTGATAGGAGCCTGGGATGTCAGGTTGTTCTTCATTTGCACCTTCTGTAACTAGTTTATCAGCTTTTACATTTCCAGGAACTCAACAGTGGGATGATATTCATTGCGTAGTTACCTTACGCTGGTTGCCTAGTTTGGAGAGTAGTTTCCATATATTAGGTAATTTTCCAGATTCGAGTGCCTGAAGTGTTAATCCTAGTCATGAACTAACTCCTATGAACTGAGTTAGTGATAACACCACTTCATAAAATATGAATCTAACCCAATATTTGTTAAACTCTTATCAAAGTATTCATTATTACCTGTGCCAGTGGTTAATTTACTATTTATATATATTACTATTTACTATCTTACCTAAACACAAAATATGACACTTACTGTCTCTTTCAGGTTCCAACCTAACACTAGCTTCACTGTCTGAGATGCTGCTGAGAAATAATGGCCATGCTTTTAGTCTGACAGAGAATGTGCAGAATCTTCATGAGGTGCTAGGCCTCACACAACCAGTGATCTCACCAAAGCTGACCTCAGTTCTTGAGGATTTGTATGAAGGTTTGCCTGTTGTTGCTGTAGACAATGGCAAGGTGACCACCAATTTTGGCTCCAATTTTAATCATGGAGGTTTGTTACTTTTCCTTCTGTCTTCAGGAACTTGCATGTTTATCACGTGTTTGAATCATAATGTTAATAACATTATCTGTATTAAAAAAAAAGGTCACATGTCCGTTTGTGATTGATAGGTAATCTCCAAAGTTCTACACAGACTGCTTTTATATTTTGAAACAATTTTCCATTTGAATACATGCATGTTTTTTTAGAGCACGAACAACATAGCTGCAGTGATGATCACATAGGCATCTTGGTTTTGTTTTCCAATAAACTGATTTTTTCCCATGGCGTGTTAATGGTGCAGGTTGTTATTTCCACTGGTAGGTGAACTTTGACTGTTGACCTAAAAAATCTGCATGAAGCTGTATGAGATAAAATAGTTTTTTTTAAAGTGGGCGAAGAGTTTGTTATGAATGGAAATTTACAGACGCAGGCATAAAAGCAAGTTGCAATTTCAAGTTCTGGGAATGACAAGATAGTTGTTGAATGTTTGTATGGGGATGACAAGATATAGGAATGAAAGATTAGTGAGGACTATAATCACAACATTCTGGACAGAGGGCTGTCATGCGGGAGACCCGGCTGTGACCCCTGTTAAGGTGATAGAGTGTTTCTTGTTGGGGGGGGGGGGGGGGCAGAATTAAATATCTGAACCTTAACAATCTGTGGTGACAGCACTAACCATGCGGCCCTACATCCTCTGACTGATGACCTCCAGTCTACACCAACCTAAAAAGGATTTAAGGCAGACAGTAGTGACAGTTTTCACAGTAGCTGAAGAAGATATTAGTAAAAAAAAATTTTATCTGCGAAAAAAATGAATTTGATTTGTGTAATAGTAAATTTGTTGGCGTCTGTGCTTAGGCGTTACGAACGCGCTTTGTCCCAGCTGCGAGCCTTGTGCCTTGCGTTGGTTTCCTCAGTGGTATCGAGAAGCTGACCACCCAGAAAGCAGTGGCAAACTATTGGATGTAAAGATATCTAGGAAAACTACAACACAGTAAAAAAAATGCTGGGGTTGGTTCTGCAATGTCCTGTATAGGAAATGCAACTAACTTTAATAGTAAACAGAGGGGCTGCAGAAGTGTAGTGGCTAGATGCTCACCTAATTGCTTATCTACGTCAAGTACACATTTTTTTCTCTTCAGAATTAACCTTGTCTGCCATCCTGAACCAGCCTAAAATAGATACCAGTAATGTCTCGAGAAGGCACCTGACATGATGTTGACCAAATAACTCGATAGGTCTAGCACTATATGCCTAGTGCACTAAAAGTGTGAAAAAAGGTCTTGTACCTTTAAGCATTTTCATGCAAGACCGAAGGTTGGGGACAGACAAGATGGTCAGCACTAAATAGTATGAGCTGTACGCAGAGATTCAAATAAATCACAGGTGGCTAATGTAAATGCCAGTGTATCAAATATCATACAGTTGAAAAGTCCAGTTTTCATTGGGCACTATTTTATTTTCTTTCTTAACATTGTATGCAGACTCAGTTTCTCTGCTGATTTGATTACAAAGGCATGGAGAACCAGATGTCAGTGCTGCAGATGGTAGATTATTGCAAAGACATAAGCTAAAAAAAAAAATACACACTGTCTTGTATGCAGCTTCTTCTTCTTGTGATCCCTTTCTGATTTACACTGATAAAATAGAGAAGTTCTTGTGATAAATTGAACTGTTTTTAGGAGTTCTCTCTTAGTTCCATACAACTCTGTGCATAGTGTTGATGCAATGAGCCAACATTCCCTTCTTAATGTGCAGTTTGCATACACAACCCATATGGGCACAATGGTGAAATACTCAGAAGAAGCCTGTGCTAGGTCATCTCAGCCTAAAACAGGCCCCAGTTAATGTACTGGGAAGTAAAGGTGGCCAACATGATGTTGACCACATCACCCACTAAACACTGACTGGTAAATATTTATATATATATAAGTACAGCATCAGATGCCAAATGTGTCAGGGTGTCAAAAGTTGTTTTTGTTTTTTTTTTTTTTTTTTCAAACTGGTATATTACATTGTGAAACAGTAGCAAAACAGAATTGGCATCTTCTTCTTCAGCATTCCCAACCCTCAAAGGTCAATGTTGCAGATACACCCGCCTCCATTCATCTCTGTGGTTGACCATATCTTTCCACTCTTTCCACCTTTTAGGTGTTTGTAGGTATACCTGGATATTGTCTCTACAGCATCTTTTTTAATCTGTCTCTTACGACCATTCAACTCCCTTGTGAACACAGTTTTTGTCACTCTGTCATTCTTTCTATTCTTTATTTACATCATAAAGTAGATTTTCTCCAAGTAGTTAATTAATTGATTCCCTAGCACTATTTAGGTAAGGGTTACAAATGGTAAATCTTATGTGCATGTTTAAGATATATCTGGCTGTAAATTGAACATGTAGGGTCATAACTGGTTGCTGGTCTGACAAAATTCCCAGTAATTAAATTATCTACTTTCAGTAAAAAGTTTGTTTTTCTTATGATATGCAAAGGGACACAACCACAGTAAATTATCAAGCCCATTTTATCAGACGGTTAAAGGCACTCATATTACCAGCAGTCACAAAGTTATATTCAGTGTAACCTAAAGATCTGAAAAGAAAGGCAGTTCATATAATTGTTCACAAATTTCCAGAGTTGTCTGAGAACTTTTTGTAAACGAAAAATGAAACTGGCCATTCCACCTCATATGCCATGGACTAAGAAATGTTATACCCCAACACTTTAAACCCTACCTCTACTATTTGACTAACTTAACCTTTTCACCACACAGATATGATAATTGCATAGTTAATTGTTTTTATTTTATAATTTTTTAAATTTTCACAGGTTTTACCAGTCCTGAGTATATTGTCACTCTAATGGTCAAATCACCAGCATGGTTGTCGGCCAGACTTCTGCTGTCATGTCCCCAAGCAGATGATATGAAGGGTGTTTTTGGAGAGCCAAGCACAGAGATGGAAGCTCCTGAACTGGAGCACATTTTTGCCATTCTCCTCGAGCAGCATAGAGAAAAACAGAAGTATGTTTTCAGTTCAGAAGCCGTTCAAGAGCTTAGCAAGTTTTTTGAGGAAGAATGGTCCACTGTTTTGAACCAGCTGGATCAAAACGAGCATGAGGGAATTATCGGCAAGTCAATGGGTCAAATAGTCCGACTCTGTGGAATACTCAAAGCACTAGATAACAGTATTCTTATTGCAGGTAGCTCTCAGGTACGCTTTATTGACTGGGATTGGTCTATTAAAGCCAACACTGTAGCCAATGCAATTACTCTTGGAAAGTACTTTCTGGAGCAGAAATTAGCAATGACTTTCATGGTGGCAACAGGCTTCTTCAGCCATGCATCAGAGTCATTCATGGATAACAGCATCAATGACAGTAATAACCAGGCTACAACTTTACCACAAACAGCTCTGCAGGACAGCCAAGATGGTTTCCGGTCAAATTCATTTTCTAATTCAAAGACTTCAGTGTCTCATACTCCATCACCTCTGCCTCCTGCAGTAACAAGATCTAGTCAGGATCTCAACTCTTCTACTTCTTCTCAGCAGACACCAAATTCATCATTTAATCTACCCAAACAACCTGGAGATGTAGACTTTAATAACTTGCCTCACACCATGACCACCGTAGAAGAAGATGTCAGTGAGATGATGCAGGCTCTGGATTTTGTGCACTTCTCAAAGACACAGTTTGTAGCGGTTCACGGAAGGAGAATAAAGCGACTGCTGGAATGTTACGATGATGGTCACGGTGTTTCTGCGACTACTGCGGCCCAGAAGTCTATAACTCCTCCTGTTCGAATTGAAGGCACAAACAACCGCCACCCTGCATGGGCCAGTGCGCTGTTTTTCCAGAAAGTTGCTGAGCTTGAATTGGGTACTGCTGAGCAAGGTAGACATCCAACCAATAGAAAAGTCTGCTGGCGATTCAAGAGGAAACCTGTGAGTCAGTTATCAGAGAAGGATTTCCAGCTTTTGTATTATTTACGTGTAGAGATGGAGAAATATTCCCAGTTTGGCTCTGGTTCCTTCAACCCAAGCTTGATTGTCAATTCAGGGCTGATTACTTTACCGTCCAGCAACAGCCCTGGACCACACCCACAATCTTCCACCTTGGGAGCAGATTCTAGTCCACGCATTGGAAGCCTGGATGATGATTCTAACAGCCAGAGCAGCCCACAGAATTCTGGAACACCCAACGTTAAGAATGAGGTTTTTTGAAATATCGTACTTTATGTTTTTTTTTAATGTATAAACTGTCTTGAGCATCAGCAGTGTCCTAGATGTAGAAGTTTTCCTGTGACTTTATTTTGATAACTAGTGATTTATTGGAATTAACCTGTAAGCATTCATTTTATTTTCACTCTGTATCAGTGGCTTCTCTTCAGAAGGCAGTGGCAAACTAATGAATGTAAAATTGCCTAGCAAAACAGAAACGGCCAACAAATGCTGGAGTTGGTATGCAATGTCTTGTAAAGGATACACAGCTAAATTTATTATGAATTAAAACTGTACCAGTTAGTGGTTAACATTTACAGATATCGTATAGAGAGGAGTTAGACTTTTAGAGCTTTTAGAGTGGTAACTATAGATATCTTTCATTGATTTCACTCTACATCACCTTGTGTGATTACCTTATGGACAAACATGATTTACTTTGGCAAGTACAACAGTTGTTTCCCCTTGCCTTCTGTTGATTTAACTTACATAGCTTTTTGTCTAAAAAGACATAGCCTGCGAGGAAGCATGGAGAAGTGTTGACGTACAGCACTCTCTTACCCACCGATAATTATATCACAGATTTTTGAAATATTTTATATAGATAGTCACAATCTAGATGTTTTGTTAAAAAAAGCCTAACATCTAAAGTTAACTTACCACAAACATCACAAAAATCCCCTTGGACTCAAAGAGTTAAATGATTGGTTTACAGTTAAAACTGAAGTGACACAGAGATGTAGTTTTATCTTCCCTGTTATTCGGTAGCCTATAGATTTTGTTCAGGTGAATAAAAATATTTTGGAAACATCGGCATTGACTGCATGTAGAGCACACAAATGGAAGATCTAAATTTAGCAGAAGCTGTTTTTCTGCTGTGTAAGAACAGCAATGACATGCTGAGGAAAACATAATTTTACAAAAAAATAGCATCAAAAAGTGGGCTACAAATTAAGTTGTGAAAAGACACACGTACTGAAATCAAAATAACAGATCAGGCAGATGTAAAACTGGAGATAAAAACAGTTAAAGTAACAACAGATCCCTTTGACTTTTTTAGGTAGTAGTCATGATAGTCAAGGAAACACAATGAAAGAAATTATGACACGTTGACGGGGCTTTTAATAGTTTAAACAAAATAGGGAACTCAAAGTTGTATTAAAAAAAAAAACCTAGACCTATATTTGTATAAACCAATCGGCACAAGATGGGTGATGTGGTCAGCATTACGCCGGCCACCTTTTCTTCCCGGGATTGCACCAGGTACCCACTCATGGCTGGGTCGACCTGGGAGCCAAGGTCATTTTGGAAAAAAGTCCGGCTCCTCCAGTGAGCAAACCTACAATCTTCCGATCCGTGGCAAGCTTCTAGCTGCGCGGACACGGCGACTGCCTCAAAGTTATTTAGTTCTAGTTAATTTCAGTTACGTTTTATAGTTATAACGTTATTTAATTTTTATCACATATCAGTGAAAGTTTGAGAACCATTGGGGACATGGAACGTAAGTTAAATCCTTTACAAAACACATGCCTACGGCAAATGATGAAGATAAGATTGGAGTGAAGAAATCAGGGAAATCTCTTGGCAACCATTAGTATCAATGTTTATTAGACAGAGAAGTCAGCGTTATATTGAACACATTCTGAGAAAAGACAGAGAATCACTGAACAGGCACTGAAAAGTGAAATAGAGGGATTGATTGAATAGACTTTAAAAAGAAGCCATAAAGTGAGCGCTGGTGAGAGAAGCTAGAGATGCCAGACTGGATTCCATCCATGTTGTGGAAGTGATTGCACAGAATAGAGCAGAATGGAGAAAAGGGGAGCCAACCGTGTGTGACATATAATGGCATAGTAGGACTTAAATGAATGAATGTTTAGTGTGTCAGCCATATTAAAAGTGACAAAACTCTTATAAAAACCATTCTGGAGGGAGACGTTTAAGGCAAGCAGGCAGATGGACGAATAGCAATCCTAGAGAGTGTACATCCAGCATGAAAGACAAAAATGTTTTGGAGATCCATTGCAGTCAACCTTCCTTATGGAGAAGGCACCTGGTTAAATGATATATTTTTGTGGAAATATGTGCAGCCCAGTAACCAACAGTTTGACCAAGAATGCAGACGGGCAGTACAGAGTATACATAATAGACGAGTGGTGCGAGTATAGGCAAAAAGTGCAATTGCTTTGAGAATACTGAAAATTGTTTGCAGCAAATGGACAAGACAATGAAGGAATGCATTGTAACATTGAATTGTTGTTGTTTTTTTTACTTGTTTATTTGTTGAATGTTCTAACTGCTTCAAAGTTCTTCACATAAAATTTTTTTTTAAAATTGGTAATAAAAGTAAATCCCTGTTGTTATTATTATTATTATTATTATTATTATTATTATTATGATTATTATTATTTATTAGTTGTAAATTAAGATGATAAATTGTTATTTCTGTTTCATATGTGTTGTTGTTTTGAATATGACTTTGTGTTCTATCTAAGTCAAGTAAAGGACCCTTTTCTGTGCCTTTAGGCGTAATTAGCAAATAGACCTCTGTTTTACAGACCATTCAGCAATTGGTGGGTGATGTGGTCAGCATCATACCGGCCTCCTTTACTTCCAAATACTGCATCTGGTACCCACTCAGTGCTGGGTGGATCGGGGAGACAACACAATTTTTTTGAAAAATGTCAGGATCCGTTAGGACCCGAACCCGCAACCTTCCGATCCACAGGGGAGCGTTTAGCTGCTACACCACGGCGACTCCCTTGTGTCCAATATGATATATATTTTTTATGCGTATATTACTATAGTGTCCGCTCTGTGTCTTAGGCGTTGCGAAAGCGCTTTGTAATGCCCGGGGTTCGATCCCAGCTGCGGGCCCTGCGCCTTGCGTTGGTTTCGACAGTGGGATCCAGAAAGCAATGACAAACTACTGGATGTAAATTTGCCTAGAAAAAACACAGCCAAAAAATGCTGGGGTTGATTCTGCAACGTCCTGTAAATGATACGCAATTAACTATAGTACTATAGTAGTGGTAGTTTAGTCAAACTTATTGGCTCTTTTTTATCATTGATAATCTTCTTCAGCACTCTGAGCCAGTGAGGTTAAATGTTGCAGAAATCACCAGCTTCCATTCATTGTCTGTTTAAATCCATCGGAATTTGAGGCTTGGATATCTGTTTCATGACAAAAATGAGGTTTAACCACGCCCTTCTATAAATCTGGAGCTGGCCGTGGTTTAACAAAGGTGGGTGATGTCGCCCATCACTTTAGCCTCCAACCTGGAGGACCAGGGTATCCCTCTTTGTCGGTTCTCTACCCTGTGGCCTATCCGGCTTTGGAGACCCTAAAGAGTGCATGATGTATGGAATGTATACAGTAAGGTAGTACATAATATAGGAAGTACATAAAATATGGTAATCTTATAGCAGAAAGTATATTTTATACCACATACTTTAAGTAAGAAATATATGCAGTAGGAAGTATATTTTATACCATGTACATGAAGCAGGAAATATATGCAATAGAAAGTATATTTTATAACGACTACATGAAGTAAGGAGTGCGTGATCTACGGAGCACATACAAGAAGTATATTTTATACAGTGTACATGAGGTAAAGAATACATGCAGTAGGAAGTTTATTTTACATCATGCACATGCAATAAGGAATACGTGATCTAAGAAGCACATGAAGTAAGGAATACGTGATCTAGGGAGCACATGAAGTAAAGAATATATGATCTAGGGAGCACATGAAGTAAGGAATACGTGATCCAGGGTATCACATGAAGTAAGGAATACATGATCTAGAGAGCATGTGAAGTAAGGAAGATCTAGAGAGCATGTGAAGTAAGGAATATCTAGAGAAATTCTTTAGAGGATATTATGGGGGGGGGGGGGGGGGGGGGGGGAGGGAGGAGGGCTTCAAGCCAAGTTTCATTGCACAATAATAATAGTGACAAATTATTATTGTATTGCACACTTAAATGAGGCATAAGCCCGTTTACCTCCCGTCCCTCTTCCCCAACGTTAAAAAATATTGGTGGTCTCAAAGGTCTTGAGCCTTAGTTAACTGCATAGCAATAACAACATACTGAGTAGCACGTGCGTCAGGGAGATAAGTGCTTTGATGGCCTCCAAAATTGTCACGTTCAACCAGGATTCCCCAAGCGGAAGCTTTGGGTTACAATTGTGATTAGGTTTTGTGCACAATATAAAATGGCTTAGCACTGCACGTTACCTCAAGCCTCAAAAGGGACTTCTGCAGTGTTGATGCGATCAGATGAGACACACTCAGATACTGTCCCAACCGGCGACAAAGTCGTCTACCGGCGAGCTAGTGGTCGACGAGGTTGCTGATGTGCGTGCGAAAGGGTGGCGACATACACATATCATTGTCCTTTGTCTTCCCGTCATTTACAAATGTTTATTCAATCCCCGGTAAGGGCTGGAATTTTTTCACGTGGACTTGGACTTCTAGTAATTCCCCCTGGTCTCTGGGTAGTGAGATTGGACGCCCGTGTGCATTGTTGCGCACGTAAAAAATCCCTCAGCAGTTGGAAATCGAAAAAAGTAGCCTAACGGCGCTGCCCGGGTAAAATTTGGAGTAAAAAATCAGTATTCAGGATCCTAATTATTGCTACAGAGCCTGTGCACTGTGTTGAGCTTCTTTGGACTCAGACTTGAGTTAGAAGAAGAACGGAGCACTTATGGGTTACTACCCGTGTTCCATGATGTTGATCCATTCTTCAAACATATACATTTTGAAATTGGCTGGTATGGGGAGTGGGGACCGCTCAAGTGGCGTACGCCTTTTTTAAAGTGCATAATAATCGTCATCGTCACTTCAATAACTTCTTTAACTTCAGTAGGTGCTTCATGCACCTTTTATTATTTATATTCTACTTACATCCAAACACCGGCTGTGCGAGATAACATGGTTTATGTTCCGACTGTTAAAAAATCGATTCCTATGCTGGTCTGGTCTTCGGCTAATATCACT